AGCTTCTGCTGAACATTATTCATTGAAAGTCAAAAGCTGGTGTTGCCTTGCAAAGCAAACCCCAAATCTCAATGCAGAAAGCAGTTACATCTCTCAACAACTCTCCTCGTGTGGGTTATAGCACTGTCTGGGGGGGCTGCAGGACATAGCACTGCACAGAGTGACCCAAACCAGTGCCAACAAAGCACAGGGGCAGGTGCAGTCAGTATTTGTATTCGTGTTCCTATTCCCTGAAGTCTAAGCCTTTGCTCTGTTCTTTCCCATGGAAATCAGAGCAGGGTTAAGAGCTTTCCAGTCTGACCTCCAGCCTTGCAGTCTAAAAGGCTGACAATACTTCCCAGCAGAGCTCTGAAGCATAAAGCTTCATTACGGGTCAAGTAGTACTAAATACAAAAACTTCATTTCTTATTATTACTCTTTTTTTTTGTTACACAAATGAACAGAATGAATGAATCTGTTTTAGTTCTGGAAAGGCTGCACTCCAAGTGCATTTTACAGACATAGTAGTTTTAAAAAAAGACACCAAAAAACCCCATACAAACACCACCATAAATGTGATTATGAAGTTGAACTTTGCTTCTTCCTCATCTGGCCTTTCTTGACTGGCTTTTGACCTCCCGTATAGTATCTGGCTTTCAACTTCACACTTGCACAACTTTTATGTTTCCCTTAGATGAAATTTGTAGGATCAGGTCCTGCAGGTTCCCTTTTGCATATGTGAATTCTCTAGTAAAATAATGCCTCTGAACTGAAGCCAATAGAATATGTTTAGATAGCTTCACTGGGAGGAGCATACTGTCCTTTCTAATAACAAACAACTTGCCCCAAAATGAAAACTGGAGATCACTGCAAACCAATACCTTACGAACATCATATTTTTATCACTTTGAATTGCAGTGTCGAACCTCTGATTTCTAACTGTCAATGTAACTGTGCTACTATATCTGCCTGCACTTCCAGTATCTCAAGTCTTGGAGCAGACATCCTATATATAGCCCTGCAAGATCATATTCCTGCAGTCAGAGGAGGCACTCAATTGTGGTTTCCCTGCATACGTCAGACAATTTATCACTTACAAAGAAACCGTGGTCCAGCAGGGACAATTACTTGTTTTCCACCCATGAATTTCAATTTTTGTTCCCTTTTTCTCTTCAGATGAATTGGACAGAGGGTGGTATTTCACCCTTTCTGTGTGTCTAGCTACAAACACAGAGCAGCTCTGTTGCAATTTCAGGCCACTCCAAGGTTTGATGTGTGAGTACTGATGCTATGGCACAGGCACACTGTGCTCACACGGGTCCTGCAACGCAGGAACATGCCAGCAGTGCCTCCGGCTTCTACCTCAAGATGTGGAAAATCCCCCCAGTTGGTACCTAAGGGGTGGACTCAGTCTATGTTGGGGTGACGGGGTTCACCTGATTCTGCAAGATCATCTGGAGGTTGGTTCCCCAGCCACCTGCACCAGGGCCTGGGCTTAGGCTGCTGCAAGAAGAGAAGGTGTGCCAGAGGATTCAGCTTCAGCAAAGCCCAGTGTGAGGGGTGACGGAGCCACATCTGGGAGCCTGGAAACATTTCAGATCTCACTTGAAACCACACTATAATTTAAAGTCGATACCTTCTCCTCTAAGCTGTGATGGTTTTCCCAGCAAGACTGGATTTCTTGTTGGACAATGTCCAGCAGCTTTTCAAACAAACTGTGGGAGGGTAAAAGGGGGGAATCAAGCCCTGCATCCATGCTGCTGCTATCCCAGCTTAATTTAGCACAGGAACAGGAAGCAGTCTTAACAAGAATAATAATTCTCAATTGCTTTGGAAAAAAACAAAACCAAGAACAAACCAAACTTATTTATTTCCAAGTCTTGATGGTGAATGTTACAAGTTTAGGTAGATTACATTGTGTTTGTATATGGTACTTTGGTTTCACTCTAAGTACGTAAATGTTTGATACAGAAGATTAAAAATGCTCCAGGTTCTGCTGTTCCTCTCCCTAGCAGTCACTAAAGGAGTCTCAGTATACTGCTTCCCATCTTCTCCTAAAAGATTAACAATCAAGCAATTTGAAGTAGCTAACTGCTGTTTTATCTGGACATAACACTTCCACATTAATAATGTAAACCAAAGTAATCCAATGACGGAAACCTTTCTTATGTCAATAGTTCAAATGTGCATTTAAGTATCAATTCAGGGAGTCATTTGAGACCAGATTTAAAGTTAAAGCTTTGACATGAAGTCTTTCGTGTCTTCTTGCACCACCAAAAGATGCACTTGTTCAGGAATCTGCCCAAGTCTCATCAGTGGTCTTGTCTAACTAAAGGAGAAATTATGTTTCGCTGGAGTTGGGCCAAAATCTGAATTTTCTACTTCACTGGTAGTACCAGATGAGAAGCAGGACTGGGGAGTTGGGGCAGTGATCAGGATCTATTTCATCCTATTTTCATTGATATTTAGCTGATTTTTTAGATGTGTTTGTACATTTTTAAATGTCACCTCAGAAAATTAAAATTAAAAAAGAAATATTATTTCAAAGAAAAATAAACTTATTCTGCTTATGCAATAATTAAAGAAAAATTATCTGACTTCACTTTGTTAATTATTTGAATTTCAAAGGGTTTTCAAATATCTCCTTATTAACCTGAATCTTCACTTTCTGGTGAATCAAGTATTAAACCCCCTGTGTCCTCTTTTCCAATTCACCTACCTTCTTTCAGATTTGCTCTCCCCACCCATTTCCCTTCATAATGCTTGTCCACAGCGTTGCTGCTAGAACACTACTGTTCAGCATTTGTCTTCCATGTAGTAGACTCAAAGTTCTGCAACATGCTCCTTTCCTCTATTTCCCAAGTTAAAAAAAAAATTAAAACTGTGCTATTGTTACTGAGGTCTGGCTAGACTGCAAAATTAAGATTTCGAAGACACACTGTTGGCAAAGCAAGCTCATTTCAGAGAACTAGATTGTTCTGATAAAAAAGGGCAGAAACAGATGTGACATGCTTCTCCTGATCTCAACGGGCAAGCTCAGGAACACTTGCAGCAAGGTTTTGGCTCCGGCTCACCCTCATTTGCAGTGGTTAAGAGAATAAGAGCATGGCCTGCTTATAGTAGGATCAAAGGTATCAGAAACGGAGTAAATAGGTTTTCTCTTCTCCTGTGAGTTCAGATGCGTTTTCTCAGTAAGTCTTGACCTCTTGTTGGACTACTTCCAGCAGTAACTGTAGTTTGTGTGTCAGAAAATCTGAAAGGGGTAAAAAAAAGGAAGAAAGTTTAGTCTGAGGGAAATGCTGAGATGTGGCTGAAGCCATCAACATCAGCACTGATGGCTGGAGCACTGTATGTTAGAAGAACACTTATCCGTTCACTTTCTTGCTGTATGTTTTCTTCTATTCAGTGGTTACTGATATGCCTCAGGCAAAATATCAAAAGAAAGCAAGATTCATAACTGAAATTATACATTCAACTCAAAACTGGGCTTTTGTTCCGGAGTAAATCATTGTACCACCAAGGCTACACTCAAAGGAAATCTGTGCTAGATAGAGTGGAGGTGTATTTCATTTACAGACCCCTAACCACCCTGGCCCCTTCACCAAACAGCTCTCAGGCAGCACCATCTTCTCCTACCAGTCGTCTCCTCAGCCTTTCAGCAAGGATGTTTGTGCACATGGGGTTGCAGTGTCTGCGTCTCAGTCTCTCCATCTTAGCTTTTGATCTTGTTGCTCAGTGCCAGTCAGATTTGATACCAAGAGATGGTGATCCCAAAAGTATGCTTACGTTTAGTAGAAACCAGGGCTGACGTGTGAAAGTGACCATCACTAAGCATGTTTAGGTCCAGAATAGTGAAACTTAAATGCATACTTACAGAACGGGCTACGGCAACGACTGGACATTTGCCTGTGGATTATGAGGTAGTAGACTGGAAAACCACTTAAAACCACGGTGCATCCAATGCTAATATTCACAGGGTCTGAGTAGAAAGACATTGCCACTGTGAAGAGGCAGATGATGGTAAAAGAGACAGGAACGAACAAGGGAACCTGGGGAAAAGAGCAGAGTAGACTCTCCAGCAAAACTGATGGCTGTAGCAAATCAGTCTCCATACATGCCAGCATACAGTGCTCACTTCTCCATCTTCAATAAGATGATAGAAGTCATATAGCTGTCCTGCATCCTGTGTCTGTACAATCAGTTGCAAGAAAGTAGGATGCACAGAACAAAAACTGACTTGTACCACCTTCCAAACCCATTGAACCCTGTGAGGTGCATGCCTCCTATATTCATGTGCACTGAAATATAAACCTCATGTCCACCTGGAGGCCAAGCAGGGGGAGAAGTCACTTGTACCCCACAGGTCTCTGTACTGCTCCTGTGCATACACATGCACCTACTTGCCACCTGTGGCAAATGTGGATGGAAAATCTGAACCCAAGAGTAGAAGAAGCACTTTAAATCAAACTGGTTTTTGGTGATAGTGTTTGTGACTCATTTTGACCTGCCTCCAGTTTGCCTGATACTTATAGTGGACAAAAGAGGATAAACCAGACTCCCTGTCTCTGTAACACCCGCATCAAGGACATGAGCTTTGACAACACCCTGATGAAAAACCAAAGAAGCAGTCAGCACTTCAGCTTTATCCTGTGGGGTGAGCCAATTCATCTGGGTTATTTGGAGAGCAAATCAGAGGTCTTCAATAAATAATAAAACTGTGAAATTTTCCCTCAGTTTTCAGATCCAACTTCAGCCAAATTATTCCCTGCCATGGCTGACAGAATGAAGGATTTGCTGGTCTCACCTAGAGTGACAATCTCTTTTCCAGTAGCAGAGATCCTGTTTTGGATGCTGACCATGCCAAGCTGGAAGAGATCAGTTGTCCTAATGCTGGCAGCCATCCAACCACCAAACTTACTATGCTCTTGCTGTCTTTCCAGCTGGAGCATCCCCTGCCAGCCGCTCCTACATCCACACACTCAAGCTGCACCTCTGCTCTAGAGGTGTGTGAGAAGACTGCTTCCTCCTCATGTCCGTGTTTTCTCACCGTTTTTAACTCAGAATGCTACAGGGGAGAAGAAATGCCAGCACAACCCCATCACGTATTTTATGAGGGGCTCAGCACGCCAGCAGCAGAGGACACCCCGTCTCTGGCCACTAGAGCGCAGCACTTCCCCGCACCACCTGCGCGCAGCACTTCCCTCTCCCAGGTCACTGGACTTCGCCTTTCAAGTGGTTATAAAAACTAGGGACGGGGAGAGGGGGGAGCAGAATATCAACCAAGCTGACCGAAAGCCCAGCATCTCTCTCCCTTGCTTTATCTGCCGTTAATTGCCCAAATCCCTGTCAAAAGCAAAATGGGGCAAAATCTCAGCAACTGAAAACATCACCAGTGCTACCCACTACTAGCTTCCCCTGATAAGCTTGCTTTAAAAGAAAAAGAGAAAACTTATTTAAAACCCAGTTCTGGGTGAGCACACCAGAGCATCCAGCCAACAAGCCGGGAAGCTTCCAGCTCTCAGCTAAACTCGCAGTCTCCAGCAAAGAACAAGAAGAAAAATTACCCCCAAACTTTGCACTAGGCCTCACGAGGCTCAGGGAGGAGGCCTTGGGAAGCATTTCTCTCCCCTGACCTTCTTGTTGATCGGCTGCCCCGTGCCGGTGGCCTCAGGGACCTCCTCCCCACGAGCTGGCTGGAGGCACCACCGTGCAGGCGTGAACAGAGGCAGGAACAAACTGTGCACGTTTCAAGCACTGTCCCAGCCAAATGCCTCCTGCACGTTATCCAGCAGTGGGAAAGGTCCCCCAGGCATAAGAAAGCTGCTCCAGCACCAACTCCAGCTTCCCTTGCCAGCACGAGGAGTATCCCAGCACCCAGCAGAGTGAGAAGGGCCACTGAAGAAACCCAGCTGCAGGCTAGGGAAAGGCACAAGAGGACAAGGCATCCTACAATTTGGGGCACCACAATATAAAAAGAACATCAAGTTATTGGAGAGTGTCCACAGGAGAGCCACGAGGGTGTTGAAGGGTCTGGATGGGATGACTTATTAGGAGCAGCTACGGTCACTTGAATTATGCAGCTTGGAGAAGAGGAGGTTGAGAAGTGACCTCATTGTAGTCACCAGAGGGTGGCTGAGCACTGGAACAAGCTCCGCAGGAAAGTCACAGCACCAAGCCTGCCTGAGTTCAAGAAGCATTTGGATGATGCTCCAAGGCACATGGTGTGATTCTTAGGGTGCCCCACTCAGGGAGAGGAGTTGGACTCCATGATCCTGATGGGTTCCTTCCAACCCAGCATATTCTATGATCCTACACTTTATGGTCCACACGCACGTGCTGCGCACTCCTCAGGGTGTGCAGCAGCAATAGGTTGCACACGAGCTGCTTTTGTGCCAGCAGATGATTCCCCCTTAAGTCAGGTTTGTTTGCAGCATCCCTCTGGGCACTCTCTTTTCCCCCAAACCTGAGACCCTCCTGCTTCTCAGCTAGAGCTGAGACTTAGCTACCACTGCAATAACATCCAGGCGAAAGTCCTTCTGTGCAGCCTGCCAGAGGCGAGTATGAGAACTGCTTTCTGCCCAGGTCCCAGTTCCCAACCTGAAATTTTGTCCCCTGCAGCAGGCTGCCATTCTACAGATGAGACTGATGACACCATGTAGGCTTTATAGGATTCACCCCGTCTGGCTGTTTGTGCACATCAAACACTGTCATGGCCTTCCCACGTGCCTTACTGAACAATAGGGATCAGGACTTCTCAGAGCCTAAAGGCAACCACGGCCATGTAAAGCTCCAATTATTAGCAAATGAGAGAGAGAAATGACAAGCCTGCACACTCCTGGCTGTTAGATCTATCCCATGCATTACCTTGAAGGGGCTGTGAAGCTCCGGGTGACGGTGGCGATGGACAATGAGCCCAAGGGTGGCCAATCCTATGAAGAGCCACCGGGAAAAGCTGAAGAAGTTCAATAGATGGTAGATATCTCCGATACACACCATGGCAGTAACCAAAGGGAACTGAGCATTGTGAAGATGAAATACAATCATTAAAGCCTTACTGTGGTCCTTGAGGTAGAAAGGGTAATAGGGATCACCTCCTCCAGCCCCCCTGTAATCACAGACAGCTACTTCAAGCCCCAGCGTTTCAGAGAGCTTTACAAAGCAGTGTCACAGGCTGAAGGCAAAAGACCTAAACATACTATTATGATATGCTACAGAAAGGAGCAACCCTTTCAAGATCAACAGTGTCTTTAATGTTTCGTGTCCTAGGCAGGGCAAGTAAAAAGCCTGTGCTGCCAGTGCAAAGGCTACTTACAAAGATGCCTTAGCAGGTCAGCCAAGCCAAGCAAATAAATAAATAAATAAAATTTAAAAAATATCCAGCAAAACCAAACCAACCAAAAAACACGAAACAAAAAACAAACAAACCAGAGCATCTCTGCAAATGCTCATTCCCTGCATATCCACCACACCTAGGAATTCCAGTTTTCCAAAGAGCTAAAGCCTGGCAGAGGTGTTTTCGTAGGACCATACCAAACAGGAACTGTGGCAGGTGGTAGGGACAGTACTTTTCAAGGCTATACACAGGGACTTTGAGGAAGTGGGTTTGGATACCACTGCTGGCACAAAGAGACTTAACACTTTGCAGCTGTTTCCAGCATTCCACCCTGTTTATTTTTTTGGACATTGACTTAGTGTCTCAACACCTTTTAAAACTTCTCAGCGTCTCCAGGCTTTGCAAGAAAGCCAAGACTGCAAGAATGGAGCATGTCACTCAGCCAGATCTCCTTACCATTAACATGACAGCAGGAAGGGGTGTATGCCTTCGAATGTGGATCATGGAGAAGAGAGGAGGCCACTGTCCTTCCCGGGAAGCCACAAAGAGAGTCCTAGGAAAAGACAGGGAGCCCACACATTAAGATTCTACATCCAAACTAGAAATTAAAAGACCAGGCAATTGACTGACCTGAGGCCACAAGGCACACCCCCAGCACAGGTCTGCTGTTCAAGACCACAGTAAAGCCTTTAGCTGAGTTTTTGGGGTATTTGGAAGAAAAAACCCAATGTCAAATTCCCGTAGCTCTCCCTGGACCTGTTAGTTCAATGCAGTGCAGGGCCCACCAGCAGGACCACTGCCTATTAGCAGAGACTTTTAGGCAAGTCCAAAGTGACCATGAATGAGTTCAGGCTGGAAACAGAAGTAAGAAATTTTCCTGCCATCAGAGAAGGAGTTAATCTTTCCAGTTGAAAGTGGAGGAGTTCCAAACTACAATTTTTTATAAGAGAGGCTGGTGAGTTTATGAAAGGGGATTGTCAGTCTTGATGCCTATATTTTATATATCTATAATTATTTTTTTCTCTAGATATATACATGCACACATATATATTAAGCACAATTTCCTCAAATAAGAGAGGATTTTCAATCCTCTGGCCAGCTGTTGGAAAATACAGTTCAGCACACAGCCAAGAGGGCAGCTATATACAAGACCAGCTTTAAAATGACAGCAGAGAGCTCCTTGCCTCCATCCCTCCTTTGACTCACAAAAGGGCAATTACAGAGAAGGCACTGCATCCAATTTCATAAATTTAATATCCACAAATAAACCATGCCAGAGCATCAGCTGGGCTGGACCAGGGCCCAAAGCAGCTGGGGCATGAGTGTGAAATTGGTTTTATTGCTGTCCCTGTGGTTTTGCTGGGGTGTGGCTGGCCAGGAGCCAGGGAGGCCCCATCACTGTTTATATGGCCTTTCTGCCGTGATTATGTTAATGGTGCCAGGATGGGGGAGAGAAAGGCAATAGGGACAGGCAGAACTTCTGTGCTGTTCAGGGACTTCTCATCCTCGAAAAAATCCACTGTATAATGGGGAGGATTCTCCACACCTGTATTTAATACAGGACTTCAGAGTAGCAGATCAAATAACTCATTAGTTTTCACACTATGAAACATCCCTTTCGTATCAACTCATTTTTCCTTCTGCAATCAAAGCTGTGAAACAGAACTGGCACCAGGGAGTTCACTCAGCTCCTTGGGACCAGCACGATGTACTTCTCCATGAGCTCTGCCCTCCTCTCCAATTTCAAGGCTCCCATAAGTACATGCAGTGTAGTAGCCAGTGAAGCTGGCAAGAAAAGTTTCATGTGGAACAGAGCTTTTCTTACTGCTACAACAAGATTTGTTGAGGCTTGACATTTGCTTTAGGAATAGTCTGTCCCCAGTAAAATTTCACTGACCTCAAAGCAATGTCCTCAAGGGAGAGCTTGCCTTTGGCCAGAGATCCTCACAACAGAGGGGCCCTCTGTCCTGCAGCTCAGCAGCTGGGTGAACCCAGCAAAAGAAGACTTGGTCTCACTGAGTAGCTGCCAAAGTCAACAAGGCCTCTAGTTCACCAGAAATATTGACAATTCACTTTAAATTGGGGATTTGAACTGAAGAGGGGGGGAAGAAGATAAAAATCTTTGTAACCAACCCTAGATGCCAAAGCCTGGACCTGGCCAGAAATAGTAACTCTTAGCCAACAGGAATCATCCTGCAGTTGACATCCTGGGAGTCAAAGACCTTCTTTTTCCCACAAGAGTGGCTAAAATGCCATCATGTGGGTGGGCAGTTGCACAGATCGCTGGTGCTTCCCTCCAATTCAGTAAACCAGAAGAGTAACAGATTTTTAGGGACGTGACCTTGAAAACGTGAAGATTCCTCCATTCATGGTTCCAAAGCAGGACAGTGCAACAAGGACAGGGACCACAGAGATCAGGCTTTTGAAGGCTCGCTGCACAAAGCTCTGGAGGAACAGCAAGAGTGGCTTTAGGAACATGTGGTGAGGCAACATCAGATTCAGAAGAAGGAAAACTTCCTCTGTCAAAGAAGTAAAATATAACTCATAAATCTTATCTTTTCTACTGTCATCTGCAGTTATATTTTTCATTATCTTCTAGGCAAGACTAGAAGTTGCTGTTGCCCAAGAATCCAGAGAAATGACGAATCAATGAAGCATTTTATAGAAAAACCATCTCTGAAGCACTTGCCATGCTCACCCCTTCAGCATAAGCTGACCATACTGAAGAAGGATAACAGCAGGGGTGACAACTCACCACAGCCACAGCAGGAGAAGCCAGAACATCTTGTGTTCCCAGGACGGTGTAATAGGAGACATTGGTGAGCATGTACCCCACAATTACTGTGATCACAGACACAATGACAGCCAGGGGAATATTTCTACAAGAAAAGGGAAGACACACGCACAAAGAACAAGCTGTCATCCTTTGTTATGCACAGTATTACTGCAGGTTGCAGCTGGCATTGGTCAGGTGAACCCCCAGACTTGTTCCTTCCCATTCTGTGTTTGGGCAAACTGCAGTAGCCCAGAGGCTGTTAACTCAAAATTACTTCTTCCCAGCCTTACCGTTCAGGTCTGACCAACTCTTCACGCACAAAGCTGGTTTGAAACCTGCACAGGGGGAAGGGAGGGAGAGAGTTTGAGCCATGTCTTGGATGCCCGTCTGCTGCCCATCATGGTCCCTCCCATCACACCTACCAGCCTGAATATGCAAACATGCCTGCGTAAAAAGCCAGGGGCAGCTTATCCAAAACCAGCGACTGTTTGTCAAAAGCGTCCTGGAAGTTCTCAGTGTGGCCTGCAGAAGAGATAAACAATTGACACAGCAGGGAAACCTCAGAGATGGGCTCCCTTCCAGCAGGATAACACCCCTTGCACGTCTTCCTCAGACCTGGGAAGAGTGTTTGTGACTTCCTTGGAGTCAGATACTGAGACTGTTTCATTGCTTTAGTTTACAGTGCTGTGCTGATGCTCTTACTCCACAGAGACAGAACCAATCCCTCCCCCATCCAACTACAGGAGATGTTTCAGGAAGAACAGCAGTGGCTGGTTCTGTTTCAGACAGAGCCTGCTGTGGGAATGGGAGATCGTGGAGATAAGAGGACCCAAGTTGTCCTGTCCTTTCTTTAGGCCCAAAATTAATTCACTGGGTTGACCCTTTTCTTCTTCCCCCAGGCCCCCAAGCAGCTGGATGCACACTCCTCTTTGATGTGGTGCAGCCAGAGAGCCAACTAATTCGGCTCTCGCTGTGCTCCCTCCTGATCCCGCTGCGGGAGCGCTGACCCCAGCCCCACGCTGGCTGGAGCATGGGAACCAGGGCAAGGAGAGAGTGGGAACAGAGATGGGGACCGCCAGCCTGGCCTCCAGCTCTGAGCACACTTGTGCCCATCTTCCCTGCTAGCCACTGCCACTCACCCACAGGAGTGAGGAAGAAGTGAGGGCATGGAGGGAAAACAAATTTTTAAAAGTCAGGATTTTGGATACGAACTGTATTTTATCAAACTCCAAGAAAACCTAGGAAAGGAAGCAATACCTAATGGCCTCTCATTCAAAGGAAGCCAATAAAAAGCATGTCAAAAAGAGTTGTACTTTCAAATCCAGGTGGTACAAGGTTTGATTCCACATCTATATTCAGTTCTCCATATCAAAGTCACTTTAGAATTAAAAGATGTGGAGCTTGCCTCATTGGGCTCTGCTAGGAAAGGGGTGAAATGACACAGTGTTTGGGCATTTGGGCTTGAAGCATTGGCCCAGAAAGTCTCTAAAACAAATTGGAGCCAAAAGAAAGGTAATGGCAGAGGAAAGGACAAGAGTGCAACCAAAAAAGTAGGGCAAGGCAGGGGAATTAGGCAAACTCATTTAAAAGTATAAAATCAGTATCTAAGAACAAAAAAAAAGATTTAAAAATTAAACAGATTTGAAGAAAACTAAGCAAAAATATGGGAGTGGGTCTGTCGGGGTAGTCTTTTTATGTTCTAAAATGATTGCTGATAAGTGATGGTGCATAAAAAGGATTTATTGTCTGTGGTACATTAACGAGTGATTTACAGTCCCCCACAAGTCACATTAAATACAACCTGTCATATTGGGGTCTCTTGGTAAATTCTCCCTCCAGATGTCACTGGCACTTATCCTCCTCACAGGAGGACGGGTGCCAGGGCTCCAGATTGTCATTTGAAGGCATTCCTAATGATAATGGCTCAGGATTTCTAGCTGCAGGGCAGTCTTTCAATTCAGAAGTGCTGCCAGCCCAAGGGGATCTTTGCATGTTCAAAAGAGCCAGCTCCAGACATCAGGAAGAAACACGAATGTGGAGCCTCCTGCCTGTGTTGTTTCCTCTTCAGAGGAAGGTAACAGCATGTAGAGGGAGCAGGCTTCATCTCTTGAGTGGGAATGCCTTGGGCTTTTCTATAAACTGAGGCTTGAATCAAAGCCAATACTCTTGTACCACTCCCAGAAGATACTACTGGTAGGGGTTTCCCCCCCCCCCCCATTATGAATGTGAGTGTGCAATCCTGTGTGAGTCTGTTGTAAGTTGAGTTACTGCACATCTCAGTTAGGAGATAAAAGACATAGCTTAAGCCACAGAAAGGTTAGAGATGTAGTTTCCAGGGCTCAGCTGAGGGCTGGTAACTCATTACACAGCTGTGACCAGTTGGGTCACCACAGGGTGCTGTCACACTTCAAAATATGTGTTGCTTTGGAAGGATTTCAAGCCACACTGAAAACATGCAAGTCTGACACCAAAGAAAGAGCATCTGCAGAGGAAGGTGAGGGTAGGCTCACACAGCCTCAGGTACTGAGGCTCGCTCGGTTTTGGAGGAATGACAGCTGAGCCAGGCACATCAGCCCAGTGCAATGATCCAGCTGAGTGCCAGCTACCCTGGTCTCAGCTCCCAACTACTTCACATCCAGCACACAGGCAGGGAAAGCTTCTGCCAGCTTAAGGAGTACCCCGCTTGTCACTAGGGACTGACAGAGGCCGTGACAGGCAGGCATGCTGAGCCCCTTCCCTCAGCCACCCAGCAGCACACCTACCCTGGGCCAGCAGCATCATCCCTGGCACGATGATGAGTGCAAGAGCCAGGAGTTTGATGATGGAGAGAGCTGTCTGCAGGCGGGCGCTCCAGGTGACACTCCAGGAATTGAGGGTGAGGACCATGTCTGGAGAGGAGACACACTGATACAGCTGTAGCCGATGCTAGACACATGCAGGAGAAAATACAGAAGGACAGGAATGCTGGAGAGAAGGCTGTGTCAGGAAGGATACTTGGGGTAAGAGATGTCAGAAAACCTTACAGGTGTGGCCCAATGCTTAGCATTTGAAGGGGGATCTGAGTTATGCTTCTAAGAGAGATCAGGAGCCTGGCTGCTGTCAGGTGATCCATGCCTACCTGGGTGGAAGGTGTGAGTTTTTAGGGATGTCTCAGCAGCCCCTTCATAGTGATCCCTGTGCCAACACACACTAACCCCCAGAGCAGACAGGATAGATTCACAGACTGGGTATACCAGGTGAGGAATCCAAAACTTCAAGCCTTACACCTTCAACCTGGGTGGCAATTGCTCAGTTATACATAAAGAGTTCCTACTCCTGTTCTTGGCATAATCCCCCTGACCTAGGCCTCCAGGTGATCAACAGGAAGCTCCATTCTCCCTCCTTGGAAAATACAGTGGCCCCAAACCAGCACCTCAGATGAGGAGGTTTTGCATGGCCCAGGGGGTAAGATGGGGCCCTTATCCCACAGTTATTCCAGAAGTTAACATCCCGTAAGTGCTCCTGATGTGGGACAAAGAGGCTCCAAGATCAGCAGTCCTATAAAAGTTAGTACTTACAGTACCCCAGGAGAGACACGAGCTTCACAGCAGGGACTGGGGCTGCACAGGGGGCAAAGAATGGCTCCAACATGTAGCGTCCAAATGCCAAGGAAACCACAGCACTGTTGGCAGGCCTGGATGGGGGAAACCAAGCACAAACTATGGTCTGCAGATGGCCAGAAAATGGTGTGATGCAAAACTGCACAAAACTTGAGAGGAGGGGAAGTTTCCCCACTTAGCTTAATCCTTCTCTCTCACGCAGGTGGTGAAATTGGGGTTTTTTTCATAGGGTTTTCTCAGTAAACAGGTTTAAAAAAATAAATCACATACTTAAAAAATCTTAATTCCCAGCTTGAAAGCAAAAGCTGAGATTAATCATCTTGAGCAATGTCGTGTGCTTCATATGTCCCAATTCATCTCAGCTTACATGAAGGTCAGAGGTTATTGAGGGGTTAGAGCTTTCTTTTTTAAAGTTAAAAAAGAAGTAATTTGCAATTTTCTAAACTATTATTTAACTCTGGCCTAAGCCAGAAAGCTGTCTCCACAGAAGACAAACAAGTTTCACAATGAAAACAGAAGATTTGAAATAAATCTGTCATCTGTTGCCATTGTCTGAAAAATACCATGACTATTGGAAGATCCCAGCTGCCAGGGTAGAAGAGAGATACTCTTCTAGTATGAATCATATTGAACATGTGTAACTATTTACTCATTGTACCTTCTTCCTTTTACCACTGAAAATCTTTAAAAGTTGTTCAGGTTGTTTCTACTCTTTCCTTTGCAAACTGCCTCAACTGTTACCTGGCACTGCAACTTTTGGCTTTTTTAACTGTCACAGCATCCAGCGAAGGGCAAACAAACCAAATCTCTTACCTGATGGCAAAAAATTCTGCCCACAAGAATAAGAAACTTGGCAGAGGCCCAAGTGTCTCCAAAATGTAGATATAATGTCCTCCAGACTTGGTGATTCTTGTTCCAAGCTCTGCATAAGACAAGGCACCTGGAAAAGTTCAGGTAGAAATGCACTGAATAAATCATCCTATGGATTTTCCCTTTACTGTGTGACTTTTCAGGGATTGAATACATCTGTTTAAAATAAGTCGTGAATTAGAAGAAGAAAAAGAGGTTTATCAGAACTGCTCTCTATTTTTGTGTCCTACAGTGTTTTGAACTAAGTTTTGAAGCAATTGAATTTTCTGCCAAAAGGAAATAAATTATCCTTTTTCTGGTTAATGGTACAAATTTTCCATGGAAATTATGTGGAAAGGTGCGTGATAGAAATGCTGCACTGAGCTATAAGAGGTTTCCTTTGGAAAACTTCCTGGAGGTTTGGGTTTCCATTTCTCCTCACAGTTAGACTGATGAGATAGTGCTTACAAGGCAGTGAGGACAGCTCAGCCAACAGGCCATGGCTGAACTGGTCATTCCAAACACATTTTTAATCACAGACCACACTCCTTATCTTGCTTCTTCACATCAATCCCTTCCTTCATTCAAAGGCACCAAGCAGAGGACCTGGAAAGGGCACCTCCTCTGAGAGGGAGGACCTGCCACCAGGGGCCAACACATCCCCAGTGGTGCAGCCCAAGGGAAGTGTCTGCATGGGAGGCTCATTTGGTCTCTTCTCACATCTGGAGGCACCAGTGCACCGACATGCCTGGGGACTGCTTGCCCTGCCCTGCCCAGCACCTCCGTGCCCCCCTGCCCCTGCACCAGGCCACAAGGAGAAACCCTGGGAGAGGTGTGCCAAGGAAGACAGCTTAAAGCTTTGAGGAAAACAGATAGAAACCTTAATGCCTGTGCCAAATAAATAAATAAATAAGCCCATCTGTGTTTTCTCTTCAGAGCAATTCATCATGCCATTTGAACGTGCCTAAGCACAAATCCTTAGCCCTGCCTACACTGGATTCACTCGCTAAGTTAAACATCCTTTGTTCACCAAAAGAAATCGTAAAACATGTCATTTCTTTGGGCACAGTCCCTCTAGCAGTGGGGCTGAGCACTGCTGGGGTGTGACCCTGTGGGGTAAGACCATGTCTAGCTGTGCCGTCTCCTCCTTTGCCCAGCTCAGGCAGCTGTGGAGGGATAACACAAGGGTGTTAACCCAGTGGTGACTTGGCCACATCTCCACATCCCTTGGCAATAGTGCCATGTTCAGGTCACACCGATGGTGAGGACCTCAATTTTTCTCACCTCTCTGCTGGCAAATTTATGCAGAATCCCTGTTCAAAGTGTGGAATATAGGCAGACACCTTGTCTCTTTTATTCCAGTGGGTCTCTTCACATGCTTCAAGCGTGCCTTTAAGTGCTTCACTGAACTCATGCTATGGGACTCATATAAATGCCATACTTGAAAGAAAAAAAGCAGAAAGGGAAGCAGGCTTTTTTAATATACTGCACAAAAAGTGTCAGAGAAATGATCAGGGGAGGTCATCAAGCTGATAAAAGGGAAGAACAAACCAGCAAATTTGGCTACAATAACTTGATAAAGAGGCTCCCAAGGCCCTTCCAGCAGTCTGTCAAAGGATGCAACAGAGAGAGAAACTTTTCCAAGTGCAGAGCTTGGGCTGTGTGATCAGCACACACATTATCATTTATTGCTATGCTCAGTTAAAAGAAACACTGCGCTCATATTGTATTTTAAGGTTTTCTTTAAGCAAAAGTATATCATTCACCAGCCACCCACACATACGCTGCAACATTAAATATCAGTACACATGTGCTAAGAGCAGGAACCACATTTGTTGCTATATTAACAATTGAATGTCTTGATTTATAAACTTGCGTGTACATGTCACAGTGCCACAGTGTATTTTTTCACATGGAGTATTTCTCCTTTCTTGGTTTTTTTTCCTGTTTTGTTTTGGTTTTCCTAAGTAATGGCAGAAGAACTTTTAAGCTACACACTGGAATAAACATCAGATCTCTCCCCAGAGCTGAGAGATCTTGCAGTTCTCCTAACAGCACTTTTAGAGCATTTCTGAGATGGTGATTTTACACAGTTAATGAAGAAAACTAAGAGCTATATGCTTTATCCATTGTAATTTAAGAGCCACATTGTTTCAGAAGAACTAGAATGAAACTGTCATCAGAAAGTCAATTCTTTATGAGAGAGGACTGGTGTTACATTCCAGAAATGGAGCCAAGGGTAATGCACAGAAAGTAGGGCTGAACTGATCTGCACACAGGCCACATCAGACACATCCAAACCATTTCTGACAGACACCCAGACACCCACCCCAGCTGGTGAATATTCTGCAGCCCCCCAGGTAATCTGCTCTAGTGCTTCTCTATCCTCACCAGCAGAAAGGGGATCCCTTGTGGCATACTAAGACTGTCACTTCTTGCCTTTTTTGCAGTGTCTCTGAAAAGCACTGCACAGCCCTCTGGCTCACAAGTGCTTTTTATATGCCTACAGTCTCCACCTTACAGAATGAGATGCCTCATCTCTCAGCTTTCCTGGCACAGACCAGGACATCTCCATCTGCAGTCATTGTCATTCCTCTGCCCTGGACTTGCACATGATTTCATATTCACTGACCTTAAGTGCTGGGATTTTTTTCAGTCACCTGGGGGGAATAATTTGAATTAAGACCCCTGGTGACACACACACATATATCCTCTTGTTTTGTTAAACCTTTGTTTCTGCTGTAGTAAGAACAGGGAAATTTTAGTTTATTCCTCTCCCAACTTTTTTTTACATAAAAATGTGCTGGCTCCCCTCACCTCCCAGGTGCTTCAGCAAAAGCCGACAAGGCTCACTACTCACCAAACATTGAGAGGAGCCCACAGGCAAACCAGACAACCAGAGAGAAGCCCACGGTGCCGGAGTTTTTCAGTACACCCTTTGGGGAGATAAAGATGCCACTGCCCACCATGCTGCCGATGAGGAGCGAGAAAGCCCGCAGCAAAGTGATCTTCTTCCTCAGAAAGACAGCTTCTTCTTTCTTGTCTTTCCCCATGGCTTTCTTCTAATCCCAAGGGACAGTCATGCATTGAGGAGCTACAGCCTCCCAAGTGTCCTCAAAGCTCACCTGTAAGACGAGGAAAGAGTTAGGGATTCAGATTCTTCTCTTCCGGAGAAGATTTTTTGCATAAACCTGTCAAGATTTGTTGCATCTGGTCTCCTCAGTTGCTGGATGCACCAGGCAACCCACAGGTGCATATAACCCACTCAGTATCATCTCTCACATCAGCATAGCTCCTGAGATGAAATGTGTTCTCTGCCTCTTCTGCCAAGGAGCACAGAGCTTTACAAGTTGAGTGCTACACTTCAGGATATGGTTTCCAAATTCATCTGTGATGCCTACACTGGAACTGGACAGTTTAGGGTTAGTTTAATGGCACCTAATTTGGGGGGACATAGATATCAGCATGCTGTCAGAGAGCAGATTTCAAGTTGTAAGCCTAATAATCGAGATCTTGAAGATATCTATTTTTAAATTTTTTTTTTATTATTTTTTATTTTTAGCCAAGAGCTCTGTTAGTTGGGGTGCACAGAGGACTGAAGCTTTTTTAATTCCTCTTCGTCCTTGCTGAATTATCATACTCTGATTTTCTCACTAGAGCTTCAGCTTATCAGTGTTTATTAATATGCTGTCAAGGCTTTTGCTATCAGAGTATTGAAGAGTCAGGACTAAGTACTACTTACAATTGCAAAACAGCACAGTCATTAATTTCAGACAAGACTGTTTTATATAGTAATATAAAGGCTTTCTTGGTAATAAAACCAGAAGTTTTTCCTAGAAAAGAGGGAACTTTAGACACTCCAGGGATCACATGAGTTGATCTAGATCCAGTTCTTTCACACCACAGCAAACTCCTACTTTGCTGACTTTTCTCTCCAACCTCTCTCTCAGTCCCAGGCTGGCACCTTCTCCAAGAAACTCACCTTCTGCTTAGGTAGGTTACTACAGTTTAATTTGCTGTAGCAAACCCATTTATATTTTTCCTAACAGCAGGGTAGACATTTTATACTGCTAATTAACCCAGTTAGAGCAGACAAGACAGGTCTGTAGTGGGTAGTTTGGCTCCTGCCCCTCCTCCTGCCACATGTCCCCTCCAATACTCTCACACTCAACTTGAGTGGTTTTTCATCATTCTAATGCAGTAAATTGCAGGTATAGTGAATATTTGCCCCAGCCCCATGTCTGTACACTATTGCAAAGTTACACTGTACATGAAACCATATTTTATGGATGGATTTCTAAAAATTATTTAATTGCAGTGGTGTGTCCCAGAGTAGACAGAGGTCACCTACAGAAGTAGATCTAGGCAGACAGAGATTATTTTCTTGATAGTCTGTATTTCCCATCCATAGATATAAATGTCCCCATAACTTTGAGAGGACAATTCATGTTACCACTCACCCACAATACCTCTTTGCATGCCCTGTATAAATTCGACATAACTAAGGGCTTCTCTCCCCTATCTGTAGCAGATCTCCCACCTGGAAACCACCAGGAAGAAGCAGGGCTTATCACTTTCTCCACACACATTTGAATAGCACATGCAGAAAGCCTTCTCTCCTGCCAGCAGCCTTAGCTGGTTTCTCTGAGATCACGCCAAGCCTGCACAAGCATCTTCTCAATCAAAACAGCCAAGTTTAGTTATTAAACCTCTAATGAGTCCCGGAGGACTCCTTAAGGCTCAGATGGGTCACATCAACCTCATCTGGTCCCACGTTGCTGCTCCTCAGAGTCTCAAAACCTCACAGGGCTGCTGGAGGTAGCAGCTCCAGAGGGGTAGAGAGAGACCTCCGGGAGCTTCCCGAGCCCCCAGCTGCAGCTCCCTCTAATGCTAATTAATTACCTCACATGAAATACTAATATCATCTGGTATCTCTCATCCAAAAGGAGAATGGCAGAGCATTCATCTGGAATAGTGAAACACGGAGGGCTCACCGAATGGAAACCGAATTGAAGAGAGATGATGTGCACAGCTACCTCTAAAATTCTGCTGTGAGATAATTAAAAGGCCACTTATCTGTTTGGCTGGGTTTTAAACAGAGCAGGTGCATTTACAATCCATCAGTCTCCCATTTCTTGCTGAGATGCCGAAGCAGCAAATGACAGCGTCTCTTTGCAAGCTCTGAAATCACACAAAGTGGGGGAGGAACATAAAAAAGGAGAGATCAAATCAAATTTACTGACCAGGTTAATGATCCAAAGTAAATACCAAACTCCATACTTTTGTCCACATGCTTTTCTCTTTTTTTGTACTACTGCCACGCAAAAGAATTTGGAGGTAGAACAGACCAGTCAAAAAAATTTCAGAAAGGTAAAATTATCAGAATTTGTTCCAGAAGCTGTTGAAAGAGGGAAAAAGAAAGAGTAGCAGAAAGCTATTGAATAACACTTCAAAGAGACACCTAGAGAGCCCACCGCCTGGAGAGACCATTCCTGCCTGCCCTGCTTCCCAACTACATTCCAGCACCAAGCACATTAAAATGCTGAGATGTTAATCCTTGTGGCAATGCTTAAGAATATTCACAATGTGCTTAGCACAAAGAAAACACACAAAGCTGCTTTTTGTTCACCCTTTTGACTTAAAGGACAAGCTCAAAACCTTCTCCTTCTAAAATGCAGTACCTTTGTGTGAGCTCCTCAGCCAGCAGGACTGAAGAAAAAGAAACCCATTTCACAACTTTTCACACCAGCTAGATCTTTACTCCCTTGCTCTTCATCTTCACTGATTTTTATTCATTTATTTATTTATTTTTAGCTGTCAAGCTTACCTCACAGACACTGCAGCATGGATGGAGATGAAGGAGACAATCGTAAAGGGAAAACCATAATTTGTTACTCAGTGTTTGTTATTCGGTGTCTAGAGGCCCCAGCTGAGAGGAGGACCCATTGTGATCAGCACACAGGCAGAGTAGATGTTACTCTGCTGAAAAGCTAGCGATATAAACAAGCAAGTTGGAAAAAAAATTAGAGGAGGGAGAAAACATCATTCTCGGTTGGGGAGCTGAGACCTAGAGCAACTAGTGACCTTCCTCCTCCTCACGTGCAGGAAGCGGGTGGCATCCCTGGGAAAGTGATCATACCTCCAGAGTCCCAGTTCAATGACTTACCCAGAAAAAAAACCCCAAAACAGCTACTAGGGAATACTAACTATTTACAGATGTGTTTTGTTTGCCTCCATCAATACCACACAGCCAAGAACAGGTTAACCCCTTCCTTTTCATACTGCAAAAGATGCAGACACCCAACTGTTCTCTGCAGTGCCACTATTTTTAATTTTTTTTTTAAGGCCAGAAATGTCACTCCAATTCAGTGTCCACCACAAGGCACAGGATCTAACTAAATAAAATCAGCAGTGAATTGGAGCTTTTTTATTCATGCATGAAAGTAGCATAAATAAGATTTAATGAGACTGGTGGTGGTCTGTTCTGGGAACTCGATCAGAAAATCTATTTAGGAGACCTGAGAGATGTTTGTTTATAGACCAAAATGAACATGAGAGGCAGGATGAAGAAACAACACATGAATCTCAACTTCTTTTCAACTTTCTACAGCTGGTTTTCCACCCTCAATAAGAAACTGAAAGGGACAGATGCTAGTAAATCAGACTCAGACTTACAACCTGAGATGTAGTACTAAATCCAGAGTGATTGCCTTAGATGTGAATGTAAAGCTAATTTCCACTGGCTCCTCTTTCTAAAGAGGAGTTGTAGTCTTGTGAGTTGTCTATCAAAATACTCCCATTTCCTAATATTTATTTCTTAAGGAATTATTTTTTTATTATTTTGTTTTTTATGCCTTGACAGAAAAACTATTCCAGGCTCAGGTCACATCACTTTTATAATCTCATTTAGGCATTTCCAGTTGTCCTTTGAACAAGAGTAACTTTTTCTGGAAAACAGACTGATGATGTGCTGAGTCTGGACCTCCAGATGATGTGTCAATGACCTTTTAATTGAGAACCTAAAAGTGTTGAATCCATACTTCAGCTCTTTGTCTAGAAATTGGACTAAATTGAGTCTGGCTTTCAAGAAGCAAAATTCTGTTGCTTTTAGTTCCTTCCTACTAGGAATATATATCCTACACCAAGTTCTAAATTCCTCATTTCAACCAGTCTGCCAAAGCAGACATTACAAGTGGAGATGTTTTAATAATAGCAGCACTGATTCATTTTCACAAGTTGTACCAATCATATGATGTCATCTCACTTCTCTAAGCATCTGAGTGTAACTCTCCATCCAACTGCCACAAGAAACTCCTACTTCTGTTCATCCAGAACTGATTTTCTATGCATGTTGTGCAGAAACACTGGCTCTTCCACGAGCATTTCTTCCTTTCATGTTGCCAGCAACATGCACAACACGAATATGGGCTGATTAAAATAGACTCAGCTCTTCTTCTACAGCACCACCTATTAAAAGACTATTAGAAAGGTGCACAAGCATCCCTGGGAAATGAGCCAACATTATTCCCCTTTCTTACAAGCAGGGGAAGGGAATACCTCAGGCACTTGCCTCCATGCCTATCATACCCAAAGGAAAAGCACCCAGAGGACCAGTCACTGAGGCAAATAAATCCTAGGAGAAAAAAAAAAAAAAAACCACTTAACAAGAAGATTGCCTCATATAGTGCTTTCTGAGGCCAGCATCTTGGCTCTATAATATCTCCTGTGGGGCACAGGGTAGGGAACTGTCCTTAGAGCTTTGTTCTTTCATGGATGGCTCTCCAAGCAGCAAGCTGTTTTCACTCTTCAGATCAGACCTCCTCCCTGGAACAAAACAATTTGTCCTATTTGAAACTGTTTTCTTAGCTGCATAAGACAGAACACAAACAAAAATAAATCTAAACACTTCTAGCAGAAGAGACCCAACAGAGAAGTCTAATGTAGCAAAGTACAGCCAAAATTTCCCCAAATGAGAATTCTTCTTAACCATTTCAAATGTTTTAAAAATAATCCTGGAAAACAGACCAACATCCCCCCTTCTCCCAATTTGTCC